CTCCGGCCCTTGCTCTGCTAGCGGGGGCTGATTAGGAGCCCTGGCTGGGCCAGCAGAAAGATTTCGGTGGCTCCCTGGGTCAGTGGCGTATCGTGCCCGGTCCTGCCTTGCAAATCTGCCGTGCTCGGGAGATGTGCAGACTGTTTCGGGGGGTGGGGGTGAGGTGCCTGAGTGGGAGGTCCCTTCTCTGTAGTTCTAGTGACTTGCCTTCCCCTGAATTCCTTTTCCTTATTGCTGCCCCGGGGTGAAGGTGAGGGTAGGGATGGGGGAGCAGTGGGGGCTGCAAGAGGGTGGCACGGTGAGGGGAGATGTTCTGGCTCTGGGCATGGGCTGCCAAGGAGTCCAAACGCGCAACTTTATTTCTTGCAGCGCGTGGCTCGGGCGTCCTAGCCTTTATCTTGGCAGAAGGGAGAGGGCGGGAGACCGAGACCCCCTTTCTTAGGGTTTACGGCGTGAGTTGCAGCGAGATTTATGTCTGTTCCTGTTTAACTGCCTGGATCGCTCCCTTTGATGTGCACAGGTCCTTCCTCCCCACGGGAGCTCCCGGTTAAACCTACCCCAGCCTTCCTGGCCGAGGCTGGGTCCCCAGGACTCCCAGCCCTCCTCCTTTCAGGAGTGATGTAAAGTGAGTTTTGCTCTGGGGGAGGGTTACGGTAAAGTCTTCGAGGAGGGCCCAGGGCTTTCTTTTTTTCTCTTTCTTTTTTTTTTACTAGCCTGTGTAAACACGGTGTCTGCTCAGCTAGTCCCGTCATGAGTCTGCGGGCTGGCATAGACCCCTCTTGGAAAGGCAAGTGATGGATGTCTGTTGTAGCACTAATCCTGAAAGTGTTTTGGGGCTAGGAGCGAGCTGAAACCCACGGTCTCCATTCTTCTCCCCGAACCGCCGCTGCCACCTGTGCGAAGCCGCTCTGCAGCCCACCTCGCAGCCCGTGAGGGTGGGGAGGGACGGGCAGGGCAGGGGCGGACGGGCAGGCGCTGCAGGAGAACAGAAGGGCCTCGTGGCGCAGGGCGCGTGGGGACCGGCCAGCCATTGAAATTCCCGGCTGCATCTGCTCTGCTCGCCCCGCCGGCACGGCAGAGAGAATGGGGGCAGTTTTGCCAGGGCCCTTCCTTTGTTAGGAACTTTGATCCTCTCCCCCCTTCCTTTTTATTTTTTATTTAGCACGGTTTTCAGCTGGGTCAGATGTTTTGGGGTGTTTTGCCTAGTAATTGCCGGGTGAGAGGTTGGTCTTGTGGTACCACATGGAGCCTCGGTATGGCTTTTCCCTGCTGAGCTGAAAGGCTCTGCTGTGAGTCACGGGTTAAATGACACAAACTCATCTGAATCCTAATTTAGGCTTTTATGAAACTTTGCAGGAAAAGGCCCGGTGTCCTGGAAGGACAGCCTTCTCTCGAGGCTCGGTGTCTCCTGGCAAGCAGCATTTGATAGACAGTGTCTGCCCAACTTGTTGCTTCATTGTTTTCTGATTCTTCCTACCCTAACGAGGGCTGTTGGCCCGATTCTCCGGGGAAATCTTGTGCTTTTCAGAGTCCTCTTTGTTTGTAAGCCATATAGCAGCAGCCTACAGGGTTATTTATGGAAATGCTTGGTACGAGAATTGGCTTTGCAGTCTCAAGGTAAAAGATTTGTGTGACTTTGTAAAGCTGCAGCTGGCCGCTGCCTTGAACAGTGGGCTTGGCAGTGCTGGGTCACCCTGTTGTTTCTTTGTTGCCGTTACTTTAGTTTTTGCTAGGTTTGTCTTTTGTGGCGGAGGGAGCGATCTGCGGTTCTCGGGCAGTGCAGACCAACGGAGCGAAGGTAGCCGTGGAGGTGTGATGAATGAACAAACCCAGTCCTGAGGTCTTGCAGGTCCTTCCCTGCCCTCCCCCTCCTGCTTTGGGGCACCGATACCAGCCGGGTTAACGTAGGAGTTACGTGACCTGAGCTATTAAATGGTGCCGTAGGTGGCCTGAAGAGCGTTACTGAGGAGCTTGGCCGGCCTGCTGGTACACCTGCGACATCAGTGGGATTCCTCATCCCCAAAGCCTTGCGGGGTGAAGTGGAGGTGGTTTGTGCTCAAGTGATTTCCACTCACTGCAGCCTGATCCCGGGGTTTTGTTTTTTGGATACAATCTGAGCAGTTCTGAATGCTCTCACTCTTAGCAGATTTCTATCTAGGCTTGTAAAAAGGATCCGTTACGTCAGTGGGTGACACTGAAACACAACTCCTCCAGGGCTATTTGTTTTAACACCAGAAATGAGGGAATAAGGTACCAGCGCTTTTGCTTTAATTAGAAAGACTCCAGCCACCAAGGAGCAGTCCAGTTCGAGTAACTTGAGTCCGGCACTGAACTCACTCCCCTCCGCGTGTTCCCAGGGCTGCCCCTGCAGTCGGTTGCCCCAGCCTCCCTCTACCTGCAACAATAGCTGGTTGTGCAGAAGAATTTGTGAAATGACTGCCTGCTCCCTCCAGCCAGGAGGACGCGTTATCTCTGCCCAGTTGATCACACTCAGGGTAATGAGAAAATGAGGCCGAGCTTAGCATTGCTGAGTATGAAAGCATCTTCTTGGCAGGAGCTGAATGACACTGGCTGAGAAGTAAAAGACAGTAGATTATTGTTTTTGCTTATTATCTGCCATCAACCTCCTGGTCTCCTGCCGTCCCCTGTCCTCAGAATTCGCTGTGGGTGTCTGCACTAGCCAGGAAGCGGTGGGGGGGGGGGGCTGTGTGTGTGCGGAGAGGGGAGGGACGGTTCAGATGCCCCAGGGAGGCACCGGAGGGTATGCTAATCTGCCAGTGCTTGGAGCTTGGGGAGGGAGGTTTATTTTTGAGTTTATTTGTGCTCTTCACTTTTGCCTCTGTTTACTTACGTGCTGAGTTTATTTATGTTGTAGGCTGTGAGTCAGGATGGAGGTGGGGAAGGCAGGGAGAGAAGCTGGTGGAAGGGCGCGGGGAAGCTGAGCTCCGGGGCTGTGTGACAAGTGAAAGGACGCGGGACGGGAGGGCGGCCAGGCTGGAAAGCTGAACAAAGCAGCAAGAGGAGCTGGAGAAACACAGCTTCCTTTTGAGCTGTTTGAGCTGCCGGGCTGATGGGACGACACTCTGGGCTGCCCTCCCAGCTGCAGCATGTCCGAGTGCGGGGATGAGCCAGACCTGCCCTTACCACAGGTCTTTGTAAGCTGATTTGTAGGTCTGGATCATCCACGATGTGATGTAACTTTACAGGAGTTGCTGTAAAAATAGGCTATAAAGAAAGAGGTGGTGGCTGAGGCGGAGAGGAGGCTTCGTGGGTGTTTGGCTTGCAGCTGCATTAATGTTGTCCCGGCTTTTGTGGTGGTGGTGGTGTGACGCCAATACAGGCACGCGCTCACCCGTGCTGAGCCCAGCAGAACGCGCGGCACCTGGATGGCGGCGCGGGGACCGGCAGCTTCGGCCGGCAGCAGGTTTATAGAGAAGCTGAACAGGCACAATGGAGGGCTCAGCCTGTGGAGGGGAGGCATCGCGTCATTGTGTGCAGCGCAGCCTGGGGAGAGGGGCAGCACGCTGTCCTGTGGCCACAGCTTCCGCAGCCTGGGGGGCTTTGGACTCCTCAGTTTAATTTGTGTCGTCCTGTCTGCTCTTTTATTTCTTCACCCTGTGTTTTGTGGGATGAAATGTTTGGCTTTTCGTGCACTGCCTCTTTTCTGTCCTGTTACTACCCAGGTGAGCTCTGTACTTGCAGGTAGAGTGAAGGGGGAGAGCAGAAAGGCAAAAGCAAGCACTTTTAATATGAGGCCGGTGATGCAGGGCACCCAGGGGCAGGCCGAACGGGAGGGTGCAGCCCAGCCTGTTAATCCCAGCATGTGATGGGCTCTCGGGTGCGTCTGGCCAGCGCTCAGCCAGAGATGGACTACTGCATGCTGGGACTTGTAGTCTCCGTGGATTACACCTTACCGAGAGGGAAAGATGTCTGCAGCCAGCTTCGTTTTATGCACCTCAGGTAGATTCTTTGGGTTTTTAGCAAGGTGCCATGGGCGCAGAGACAGCCATGCGCATGGAGGAAACCCTGCATCTGTAAATAGGCAGCAAAAGCGTGTTCACCTGTTCTTCCCCACATCTCTTTCAGATTGACCCGAAGGTAGCGTTCCCCCGCCGAGCACAGCCCAAGGTAAGCACTGCGGGCAGCCCTTGCCACTCCAAAGCGTGAAATTCATAGAACCATTAATCATAGAATCGTTAAGGTTGGAAAAGACCTCTAAGATCATCAAGTCCAACTGTCAATTCGTGGTGGTGAATCTTGTCCCACCATGCAAGGTTGCCAGTGCACGCAGCGGAGTCACTCCCTGGGGTTTGCTCAGGACTCACCTGGGGTGGGAGCTGCTGAGCTGCACCGCCAGTGTGACGCACTGCACTGGGGTACGCTCCTGTCGGCTTGCAGCGCAGCGCTGGGGGTTTGCATGGCACTGGAGGAACCGAGAGGCCCCTCGGTAAAGGGGGGTGCACACTTTAGGATGCGCTAGTTAGAGCTGGTGAAATAAGTGCTGCCCAGGGTGAACTTGGTCTTATTGAGTTGCAGCCAGCGTCTGGAAGTTCCAGGCCTAAGGAGGTACAGAACAGCTCCATGCCGCGATGTGATGCAGGTGGAAAGAGGGTCGTGTGTATGCATGTGTGTGTGTACGAATAGGTGTATGGCAGAGAGGGGGAGAAGGATTTCATTTTGTGAAATGCCCTTGTGTGCTTCAGCACTGGAAAAGGCAGAAGGAGTTTGGTGTTGGACTTTATCTACAAGAGGCTCTGACATCAAAACGTGCAGTTGCTGGAACTTTTTCCAGGCGTGCAGCTAGAAACTTTTAACTGAGGAGCCAGCAGCAGGCTGGAGACTGCCTTTAGACTTTGGGTCTCCCTTTAACTTTGCTCTTGGATGGGAGTTTTAAAATCCAGAGTCTCAATTCCAAGTGCTGTTACGGGAGAAAGAGCTGGGGAGAAGCAGTGTTGAGAAGCAGAGAGGGAAGAGGAGACTGCTGCGGGAGGGAAGTAAGGGGGATCAGGCACTGAGAACAATTGGTGAGCAGGTATCCCGAGTAACTGGAGCCAGGAAGCACATGGTAGGAATTGGGTTAATTCCATTAAGCAGTTTGGTGACAGAAGGTGCTTTAGTGTTAGAACGGGCTGCTCTCCAAGCCAGGGAATTGCTGCGGATTAGCCCTATGCTCCGTGGGGTAATTAGGACCATGTGTTCCTCTGAGAGCAGGGGTGTAGCCAAGCAGCTAAGGGGAGGATGCAGCTGGAGAGCCAGTTCAAAGGATGTCGGTGTGCCTCAGACGGGCAGCAACGGCCCCTCTCAGGGTAGTTAGTTTTCTTCCTTGTCCCAGTTGCATGAGTGACAAGTGGCAGAGGGATCTTCTCCTTGCCTTCTTGCAAAGGCAAAAGAGATTTAACTGGGAGTTGACTGGGCTCCATTTAAGTGACCGGGGAATGGGTGCGAAATGAGGCTTACTCCATGCAAGGCCGGATGCTTTGCAATTTGCAGGCTAGGAGGGCGAAGCGTGGGGAGCCTACCTGTGCTGGCAGGCCTCCTGCCTGTCTTTCCGCTCCGGGAAGCAGAGCAGGCATCTCTGGGCGAGCCTGGAGGAGGCCAGCTGTGCAAAGTGGCAGGGCTGCGGGAAGAGCTGGAGGGCTGGGGCGGGGACCGTCATGTCCCATGCCTTCGGGGTGGTGTGAAGGTGCCAAGAGAGTAGCAGCAGGTTAGCGAGGGGAGAGGCTGATAGCGTGCTGTCCGAGGGGGAGGTTGGGTGCTGGCAAGCATGATGAGGCGGCACAAGGGCGAGAGCATGCCTTGGGGTCCGGCATGGGGCAGACCTGCTGGCCGCGTTTGGCTGGGGGGCCTCGAGGAGGTGGAAGCTGGGCTGTGGCAAGGGGACAGGCGCTTCCCGGCAGCGGAGGGGAGTTAGTGGCCTTTAGAGTCTCGTTCTCTGCTCGCTCTGGGTTTATTCGGTGAATTCCTGTCCTTCCCTTTTCCAGATGGTGACCCGAACGAAGAAGATATTTGTGGGTGGTCTGTCTGTGAACACTACTGTGGAGGATGTGAAACAATATTTCGAGCAGTTTGGGAAGGTAAGTCTCTTGAGTGGTGTTGGATCAAAGCTGTTACTTCTGGGGCAAAAAGGAGTTTTCTGTGGAGGCGGGATCAGGAGCCTGCGAGCCTTCTGCATGGGGTTAAGTAGATTGAAGGTCAGTTACAGACGTTGGGTGGCTGTGATGTCTTTGTAGGGGCTACAGCCAGTGACTCCTGCCCTGTGTTGATTTGAAACAAAGAGTTTGTGCTTCTTCCCTGGAGTCGGTAGGACCTGGGCTAAGGGAAATGGTTTTCTGTTTTTTCCCTGTCCAGAGGCCTCTTACGGCATTTTGGTCCTGCAGATTTGCAGTTTGTTTAAACGCTGGAGGAAGGTTTGTAGACACTCCTAACAGAGCGGCTGCAGCATCAGACCTGTGATTTTGGCCTGTTTCTAACTCTAAGCCTTGTGATTGATATTTCGGTAATCCTTTATTTAAATAAGCCTTTTGGTCCTGAAACTTCTCCTGCAGAGTCTTGGGCAAGTGGTGATGTTGGTTTTGGATGTTTGAACAAAAATTGGCGCTACGGCTGTTCCTTGTGGTGGTCTGGCTCTTCTGTGCCAGCTGGTGGCTCAGGGGAGGGTGGGCTTCTATGGATTGAAGTCACTTGTGCCGTGGTCTGTGAAAGCCAGGTGTGCAAATTGCGAGTCGGGATCGAATTGGAGGAGAGAAGGGGGCTCAGTCTTGGCCCTTCAGTCCCCTGTCAGGAGGTTGTGAGCATCCCCAGGAGCAATCTCAGTAGTATTATACTGAAGGATCCCAAGATTTTTAATGGGATTAGGAACTGAAGGGGATCATTGTACCCAAATGCTGAATGCCGTCACCTCTGGGGCAGGGCACTGTGACTGTTTCACTGTTGTTCGGTGGTGTTGTGCATGGGTTTGCCGTTTGGGGCAGGAGCTGTTAGGACCTTCCTGCCGGGCTGGGGGGGGGCAGAACGCAGTCTGCTGGGCAGTAATCTGGCCAGGACGTCGCTGATAGCATCATGGATGTGGAGGAAAGTACCACGGGAACTGTAGAATATGTGGGATGAAGGCTTTGGTATTAATTTTCTTCTGAAAGATCCTGCAAAAGGGTGATGTTATGTTAAAGCACGTTAATCGGCAAAAGGAAAGGGAGTTTTGTAACCAGTTTTGCCATATTGTTGGAACTTTTGGGCAGAAAGTTTGGAACAAGTGTTTGCTCAGTAGCTGAGCTTCTGAAGTCAAATCTGCATGTCCTGGTACGCTATCGTGACTGCAAAGTGGGACTCCTTTGTATTTCTGTTCAGTCTTAAAAGAAAGCGGCAATAGCAAAAGTGGTCAGATATCCCCACGTTTGCTAGTTGTTAGCTCTGTGTGGTTTTATTTTCTATTAGAAATAAGCAAACTCTATTGTGTCCCCAAGAGCTTTTACATGGTGTCACTGAAGATGTCACCACTAAAGGTGGTGATGTCTGTGTGTCTGTGTAGTCTGAAGGTTGTTAGTTTGACTTGCATGTGCTTCTGCGCTGCTGATGGATGCGTTTGATAGGAAAACAAAATGTCTTGGGCATAATCCCCTTTTAACCTTAACTGTACCTCTGTTAATTTGAAGCAGAAGCATGTCATGTAGCACTCAGTTTACAAGCAGTTACAGTTGCTCTAGTCTGAGAAGTACCTTCCAGTTGTTTTGGGGTATTATGTTATGTTTGTCTTGTTTAATGGTCACATGCTGAAAGGTGTCTGACGTCAGGAGACTGGCGAGAACTGGTTTTGTCAGATTGTTTTCTTGGGACTGGGCAGGAGGGAGAGTTCTGCATAGCTCACTGCGATTCATTTCCAAAGAACCAGCATCACGGACAACATCCGGCACTCAAAATTGCATGAGGCCGATGCAGCTGGCTTCTTGGCTCTGGGGAGTTTCCATGGGGAGATGTCAGGGCTGGTCAGATTGACTCTCTGGTTTTGGGGCAGTTTTCTGACTCATCTAGCCATTTCAGCTGAGGAGAGACTCCTCAGAGCTCCTGTATAAAGCATCTCTCCTGGCCTGTAACCGTCTTCTAGGCTAAGCCTCAAATAATTCACCGAAGGCTAGGAGAACTGTTTCCCAAGAAATTCTCTCCAGTTGGTCGCTCCATATGGCTGATGTGCAGGATCAGTGGGAAAGCGTGTTTCAGAGGAAAGCCTCCATGGCCATCAGCTCTGGGGTTCTGAGTTCTGAATGCGCTGCTCTGCGGTTTCTAGGGCTAAGAAAAGCCTGTTGCCTTCAATTTCAGGTGTGACTCATGGAGAACATGGTTTTGGTACACAGGCTCTTTTGGTGTTTGTTTATGATACTCTGGGGCCTCCTAGCTTTCAGAGGTCTCCTAGGATCCCTTCTTCCGAGGTACTCTTGGCACCTGACTCTGTGGTCTTCATCTCCTCGATTTATGGCATCTTTAAGTGAGAGGTGGTGAAGCTTCAGTTGTGTCATCCTCATCTTGGAAAGCGTCTCTGAAAAAATCTTTTCTAAGTCATTCGGGCCAGTAGTTCTTCTGGAATTGGATTGGGACTGTCTGAAAAGGAATTGTTAAGGATGCCCTTTTAAAGCATTTCCTTGGAGGACTTACTCTCCGAGGAAATGGCTTTGTCTGGATTCCCTCTTCTTCTGAGCAGCCCCATGGTTTTCCAGGATCTGGCAGGAGAAAAATTGCTCCTCTTTCCTCCTGCCTGTCCAGGCAGGCATGGGAACGCCTAGAATCTAGAGAGGAGAGAGTGGGGAGCACCAGGTCATCCTGTCTTGATTCCTCAAGATCAAGGTACCAAGTTCCGGGGGGTGATTTTTAGTCAGTGTTTGAGAATCCAGTGGCAAGTTCAGTTTGGATCTCGGCTTCAGGGAGAGATCATCCTCTGCTTCTGAGGACAAGGGAGTACAGACTGCTGAATGGGTTTTGCGTGAAGGTTGTCTTCTAGGTAACCCTCAGGCCGCAAGCCTAAGCGTGTGTTAGATTTGCCACCACTTAAGGCCTTTAAATTAGGATAGGTGCTTTTTGAAAAGTACATTTTAGTCCAGACAGAAAGTATGCACATGCTGTAGGAATTATGAGAGGAAGTGCTATGGCCTGCAGTACAGACGAGGTCAAATTAGACTATTATAATGTTCTCTCCGGTCCAAATCCGTGAACTGCAGTTCACAAGTCTACCAAGGTAGCTAGCATTGGCGCATCTCGGGTCAGAAACAGCACACCTTGTGTGTCCATTAGCAGGAAAAAAATGGAAGTTTGGTTGGGCTGGAGATGAAATGGTTTCCCATTTCATAAAACAAAATTCCCAAGTCTGATTTTTCCATTTTGGCATTTCCACTTACTTTCCTATTTTTGTTTTGTTTTTTCTTTCCTTGCTGTGTCCAAAACCTTCTCTCAGATTTGTAAAATGGAAGTGGCAAAAGAAAAATTAAAATGTGTGAGGAGGAAATCTATGAGTATTACTCAGGATATTTATTACAGGGATACAGGAAGAAAGGGAGAGGCTGGCACCCCAGTTCTTCATATCAAAATACTTGGTTTTAACAGGCACAAAAGGTGAAGCTTCAAAGAGGATCCCAAATACAGTGTGAGTTTCTCTGCTTCAAAGAAGGATCACTTTTTTTTTTTTCCTTCCAAAACTGTGAATGAAAAATATGGGCTGCTGTTTTCCTGAGGAAGAAAATACAAAGGTTTTTTTTTTTAGTACAGTGACAGAGATTGAGCAGCGCTCTCAAGCTGGCTATGGTTTGTCAGGTGCAGCTGCTAGGGCTTTGAACATAGCAGCATCTCTAGAAAACACTTCTGGCTCCAAAACTCGAATCTCTCTGAGATGCAAGCTAAGGCCATGGACGTGCTTTCTAATGGACATTATTTTTTCAACTGTATGACAGAAGTCCTGGAAAGAATTGCATTCACAGTATGTATAGCCAAGTGTCTTGGCTTAAGTTGGATGGTGTTGGAGATATTTAGACTGCACAAGGAAGTATTTCAACAGCCTCTCTAGATTCGGGCTACCACCTCGCTGAAACCTGAAACAGAAAGAAAGGATGAAGATATCTTGCACCTAGCACCTCAGACATAGCTAGTCCTCTGTCTAGTTCAACACGTATGAGGATGCCTTGGAGGAGCTCGAGTCCCAGCTTCCTCCTTTTCTACTTCAACCTGCGGGAACATGTTGTTCTGTATTATTTTTTTGGGGGAAAAGGGGTTGTCCATCAGAGTAATTTCTTTGGACCGTTGGGTCTCTGATCTTGTAAGCAAGGTTATTTGTCTCAAATCATAACTGAAAAAACTCAGATCATCTTTCTTTTTCAAGGGTTGGTCTGATGAGGTTTTGCAGTAGAGAAAGTCAAATAAATTGCTGGATAGGAGGCTCAGAACAAATAAGGTCTTTTTGTCGTGGAGCTTATCTAAGCTGTGAAATCTTTGCCCCAGGATGTTGTTGCTGAAATTTGCATAGGCTACAAAATGATTGGACAAATTCATGGAAGGTCCTTTAAATACACAGACATCCCTTTGAGTTCAGGAAATCCCCGAATCACAAATGGCTGGAAGATGATGGAGTATTCTGGGGTCTGTTGTAATATCCTTGCCTTGTCTTTATGTTCTTCCAAAGGTGTCTGTTGTTGGTTGGTATCTTGGGGGGTGTTGGGCAAGGTGGACCTCTGCTCTAACTTGGTGCAGCCAGTCTTTTGTTTGTCCTTAGGAGAGAAGTTGGTCCTTTCAGAAACTAGAAATGCAAAGGTACTGGAAGAAACGGTGGCCTGGACGCAATTCAGGTGTTTGAACTCGCGGTTTTCTTGTGTGCTTTTGCATTTCACGAAGCAGAAGAGCAAGAAATATATTCACAATGACGTCTTTGCATGACTCACTAATCAATTGTGGCTCCAAGAGTGCTTGAAAAGTGCTTAAAAAGAGTCTGCATCTTTCCCTGGGCCTGCAGGTGATCTGTGTACGTGGATGAGTCGGTCACGAAAGCTCAGCCTCTCTGTGAGGCAGATCGTGGCCAGAGAGAGACCTGCTCTCTAAAAATATC